GACTCAGCCTAGAGTATCTTTTCTATACCATTTCCTAAATGTTCTGAGGTTGAATTAAACTCCCTTCCTCTAAGCTCTCACAATATCACCTGAAATCTGCTATTTTCTTTCTGTTTTTGGTGGCTGCACTGGAGTTTGAACTCAGGGACACCCAACCACTGAGCCACATCCCCAGCCCTATTTTGTATTTTATATAGAGACAGGGTCTCACTGAGTTGCTTAGCACCTCACTTTTGCTGAGGCTGGCTTTGAACTGTGATTCTCCTGCCTCAGCCTCCTCAGCCACTGGGATTACAGGCATGTGCCACGACGCCTGGCTGGAATCTGCTATTTTCGACTGATCATATTTTGTAACTGTTTCTGTTTATCTCCCCTATTATCTGCTAACCTTCCCAAGATCAGGCTTGTCCTTCATGCAGCTCCTACCTAGTTGTGGCTCAAAAATATTGCTTGTCCTATTGAGTTGCCTAACATATTAAAAGATGGGATTCCCATTCCCAAAAGGAAAGGGAACTACTGCTGAATGGGATTAAAGACATGCTATCATAATTCTTGTTTCTTATCCCTTTTGCCAGTACCCAAACAAAACACCTTCTTTTTCGCTGATTTATTCAATGCTACCACAATTAATGASCTTTATATTTCTCTGCAATCTTGATTGGATTTCTAGGGTGAATAGTTTTTAAATGGGGAAAATTTTGCCTCTATGGGACTGTTGCATAATCATTTGCAGATTTTGTCATTTAACTTTCCCTAAATAGCCCAATTCAGGAAATTTTGTGCAGGTTTCTCTGCGCCACATGTTACTAGAATTCCAAGTGGATTTTTCAGTTGTCATAAGAAAGAAGATAAAAGCAAAGTTCACAGGCAGCAGAGCTAGAACTTCAGAACATGGGGAAAGGGAAATCAGGAGAGATTTGGAGGCTGATGAAGAATGAGTGGAATTTCAAGAGATGGAAAACTTGAAGTAAGAAAAATGAAGTTAGAAATATGTCATACCATTCAGTCCTGTTTGAGGAGGACAGATATGCCAGTCCTATTTGGTTAGAATATTTGGTTTGAGTAGAGTGGGATTAACTTGTAAAAGTAACGTGGTCACAGCCAGGACTTGAAGAACTTTTTATGGTAAACTAGGGAATCTGACTTGACTTGGCAGGCACTGGGGAGTCATCTAAAACTGCTCAACAGGAGAATGACATGCACAGAGTGCTTTATAAATCTCTTAATACCATTTTATATTTATCTAATGTTTTGCAGGTATAGATCACTTTCGTATGTGTCATTTCTTTTAATCCTCATCATAGCCTGTGAGAGCACTATTATTGTCTCTATGTTATAAAGGAAAAAAATGAAACTCAGAGAGTTTAAGCATCTCATGCCAACTCCTATAACTAGTAAATGCAGAATAAAGAGCCTTTAATCCAGTTTTGCTGATTCTAGATTCAGTGCCCTTCCTATATGCAATATAGCCTATAAGAAGATGAATTATTATTTTGATGGCAGTAAGCTACAAGAGTCTAAAATATGGTAGAGAATAAGCATGTGGTAAGTTATTAATATCAAACAGTAGTATTTGTGGGAAAAGTTAGGAGTTTAAGAACAATGAAGTTTCAAATTAAGKTTCTATCAGAGGGAATGCAAAGGTTTATTTATATCTCAATTTTAACTTTATTTTAGAAGGAAAATTGTCAAAGGTATCTCAAAAAGGTGAGAAGTAGAAGTAAATATGTTTGCTGTTAGGTGTAAATGTGGAGGGTAGGGAGGAAGAGAGGAGAAGCTCTCCAATTTCTTGAAGCATTATCTGCTTAATCTCTTTCATCTGCCTATAGGAAAGCACTATCCTACTATCTTAGGTGATGTCTYAGATCACATGGGGCTTGGGGTGGGTCACCCTCTGAGAAAAGCATTGCATTTGATAGTGCAAGTGTTACAAAGAGCAGAAAGCCTGTTGCTTGCAGTCTTTTCCAATTAACAAAAAAAATTCATTTTTTTTTCTACAAGCAAAGCCATTAAATGTATTTCTGTTTTTACAAGTGAGATCATTGAGCGCTCATCAAGGTGAAGGGACTTACTTTAGAAACTGGAATTCCCACATTGTCCAATGTTGCTACTAACCACATGTACCTATTGAACACTTCAAATGTCACTAGTCTGATGTGAGATGCATTGAAATATAACATTTAAAAAATATATAAAATTTTACAGTATAAAAATGCTGTAAAATAGCTCAATAGATGTTACTTCATGATTTTAGATAAAATAAATTAAGTAAAATACATTGTTAAAATAGTTGTGCTTTTTTATGTGCTTACTAGAAAATTTGAAATGGTCTATGGGGCTTGTGCTGTATTTTTATTGTTTATTTTATTGGGTCGTGTTATTCCCAATTGTGAGACTACAGCTGGGATTTGAATACTCCAAGGCCTGCATTCATTCCACATAAATGCTTACTTTAAAAGAGGTGATAATAGCAACAAGAATCATAGCTAATATTCATTGAGTACTAGTCAGTATTTCTAAGCACTTCACATCCATTAACTATTAATCTTTATCATAATTTAATGACTTGGATATTTGTTTCCATACAATAGATAATATTATTTTATAGATGAGAAACAAAGAAATTCAGTATCTTTCCCAGGGTCACAGACTTGGTGGAGCCTGAATTCAGATTTAGGAGGTCTGCCTTCAGTACTATTAAGATTGCTTTAGTTTGGCTTTCTCTTTTGGCTAAGTCCCAAAGAAATGTTTGGGTTGGTACAACTTTATTTTTTACCTACTGTAAATGAGGCAATGCTTGAGAGACTTTGTATATTATCTCATTTAATCTCTGCAATAACCTCAGTAAGTAGTTGAGTCTCAGAGAGGTTACACAATCTGCCCAAAGTTACACCACTAAGTACATGCTAAAACTCAATTTCTAATCCAGCCTGAATCCACAGTTGATAYTTATCACTACTCCAGTCTGTAAAAGTGCTGCATCTGAAGCTCCTGGGGGCGATTCCCAGGTTAAACCCCAGGTGTGTGGAGCAGTCTCCCCAGGGTGGCTTCTGGGAAGTGTTCTTTTTAGAATGGCTGCAGGAGATCTCCATGCCCAKCCTGATGTGATAACCATCCTATTTGAGTCTACGAGTTTCAAACTCTTTTTCTAGAAGTCTCATCTCTTCATTCTGGTCTAGGAGCTGATGAAAAAAAAATTTTTTTTTTAAACAAAGAAAATTAGAATATTTCTTTCAGGCAGTCTTCAATAAGGGCTGACCATTCACCTTCAACAAAATCCCTGCTGCTCTCAAATCTCACCGTCTGCCCTAAAATGTGGTAGGCAGTGGTCTAATTAAGCAGAGATAATCAGAGAATCCAGAGAGAAAACGGTCTCTCCCAAACAACCACCACAACAAAACAAAAACCAAAACCAAACCAAACCCCCAAACCCAACTCTCTTAGCAAACTTCTCAGCACTGGCAGCCTGTCTAAGGTGTGAAAGGTAGGACTTTCAGAGGCACAGTCATGGTGGGTTCCAGGAAGGAACACATTAGCAGGAGACTCWCAGTCTCTTGAGGTGATTTACGGGTTGTGGGTGATTCAATAAGAACCACTGGATGTGAATGAAGACTCAGAATCAACAAAGCCAAGCRACTTTCAGGTGTGGGTTTTAAGTGTGTGCGTGTTGGGGAGGGTTAACAGTGTGCTTTTTTTTGCAGCCTCTGTGGGTAGACAGACAGTTGCTTTATACAAAAGATTCAGAACTTCCAACGAAATATAAAATTAGGCCGGGGTTTCATGGCAACCCAACTCTACACAGTAGCAAACAAGAATTGTTTGAGAATCAGAGAAAGAAGCCAACCCTGTGTATGTCACAGCTCTGCTTTCCTTTGGCCAGTTTCTCCTAATTTAGCAGTACTTCCGTCCCTGCCCTAATTTCCCTTGGTTCGTAAAGGACGTCACTTAACTGAACACCGCTCCAGACTTTAGAAAAACAAAATTTTGTATTTCAGCAGAGGTTTTCTTGGCATTTCTCCCTTGGAAGAATTTTACTTAATTCTGATTTTCCCTTTTTTTTTTTTACTCTTGAAAGATCATAGCTATCAGTTGTGCTCGCTTTCCTCCTGTTTCTTCCTTTCCTCTGCACTGTCTGCTGGAGAATAATGCAGGGTCTGTTTAAATGTGATTAAAGATTTCAGTGTTTGGTTCAAACCAATATTTACCAGTGAAATGCTGCCAATGTAAATGTGCAAGCAAGGTAGAAAATATTGGTTTAAATCAATCTCCCCCCCTTGACACACGCATACCCACAAGCACTGTGGATGTTTGACATGTCACTTCTGACATCCTGGACTCTTTTTTTCCAGCTTCATGCATGTAGCAGCTGGACACRGATTCAGAACAATCTTAAAAATAATATAATCTAGATAATAAACTCCTAGAGGAATTGTTCTAAAATTGTTTTCTTACTAGCTAATGTGGTTGTTATTGCTATTTATTTTTTTTTTTCTTCTGGTGATTCTTCTGGCATTTATCACACAAGGTCATGTTATCTGGTTGAAAAGGTTCCCCTGGAGTAGGAAAATTTGAGTTATTTGACATAGTAGTAAACACGGGAATGCTAAGTCTTTAAAAAATAGATTATACTACAAATCTTATTGCAGAAATACAGAATAGACATTTAGAGATTAAGTCAGTCTTGCTGAGTGATTGCTTTAATTTAGCAAACTTTGATTGAATTGAATTTATTCACTGATTGAATTTATTGAATGAATGAATTATGGTTACACTTTGAATGAATTTCAAATAGTTGTAGTTTGGATTAGAAATTAGTGTTCTGAAACYGAATCGTCTAGCCAACTAGCAGACAGAAAGCCCCAGCTGGCACCTGGCAGCTCAGTCTCAGGAAGGAGCCCAGAAGGGTGGAGAGAAAGTGAGATTTACGAGGGAGGTGAAGGCTCTGAGCCCAACCCTCAGCAAAAACTTTTGAATTGCACAGTTTCCATACTTTACTTCCATCTAGGTGGGAGGGTTGGTCTGAGCCGAGGAAGAGGGTATGGCTCATCTATAAGAAAGGCCACTGAAGTTACTAATGGCAGCCCTGAACAGTACCTGGTAAACAGCAGGAACTTAGTAAATGCTTGCCTCATGAAGAGGGGAAATGAAATGCTTTAATCTAACATAATTTATGTGGCTAAGTGTGGAATTTTCCAGCTCAAACTTAGGGGCAGGAATAATGTCGATGTCTCCTAGTGATAAAATCCCCTTTGTTACTTTCTCTAACTGCAGATGCACCAAAGACTGAAGCACCATGGGATGAATGGACAAGAAGGACAGCATTCACCATCACAACCATCATCAGACGTCCAGTCTGAGCAAAATATCTCTAATCTTCAAACAACGCGGTGAGGGAGATTTATTATCATCAATTTATTCACAGGACAGAAGAGGTGAAAAGGAAATGGCAAATGGGTCAGGAAAGGTGGTCTGGGTGGCTGGACTTAATAGCAGATCACAATTGGGGACAGAAAGAGCCAAAATCCCAAAGAAACACTGTCCTTATTATGGTTTAGATAGGAGGTGTCCCCCACAAAAGTTCATGTGTAAAGATAGTGCAAGAATGTTCAGGGGTGAAATCATTAGATTATGAGAGTTCACTGATATGGATTAACTGGGTGGTAACTATGCAGGTAGGGTGTGGCAGAAGGAAGTAGGTCACTGGGGGTGTGCCTTTGGGGTTTATATTTTGTGCCTGAGGAGTAGACCTCTCTCTGCTTCCTGATTACCACRTCCTGGTTTCTCTTTTCCTGTCCCACACCCTCTTGCCATGTCTTCTGCCTTACCTGGGGCCAAAAACCTATGGTCACCTGACCATGGACTGAACCTCTGAAACCATGAGTCAAAACTTTTCCTCCTCTAAATTGTTCTTGTCAGGTCTCTTGCTCATAGCAATGAAAAACTGATTAAGACAGTCCTCAAGAGGTGTCTGGTCAGTGTGGGGGGCAGGAATGCGCAGATGCAGAATGATGTGTCTGAATGAATGAAAACAACAAAGACAAACTGTAGACTGCAGGGTGGATTACCACAGAATGACCGACCGGCAGCAGCAGAGGTGTWCTTGTGCTTTGAACAGAGCAGGCCCTTCCTAAATATTTGTAGAAGTACACTGAGTTAAATTAATAAGAAGCCAGGTGAAGGTAATCGGAGGAGGAAGGACCGGGGACCACAATGAAAGGAAAAACAGAGAGGAGGCCATCTGACTAAATAAAAGGGTGTTGAARAAAAACAGAAAGGTCCAGATTATGCAGGGAGCAGAGGAGTCTAGATTTAAAGCAGGAATAGAAAGTTCCAGAACAGGGGAGAGTCATGAGGAAAGAGGGAATGTGGGACAGTCAGGCTGATGGGAGTCTGTAGGATGGTTCTCCTTGGGAAGAAGCTAGGGTTAGGAATGCTGGGATGACCCTACTGCAGGGGTCCTTACTGAAAACAATGCAGGCTAGAACAGGTGGTGACAATAGAATGGGAGAGAAAAGGTAAGTTCTAAGCAATATTTGGAAGGAAAAACATGTAATCATTAAAGATGGGATAGAGAGGAGTAGGGAAGGGAAGGTGTTCAAAGTTGTCACCAAGGTTTCTAGCCACAAGAGCAGAACCACTGATAGATAAAAGGGACCTGAGCTAGTGGGGGTTCATTTGTATTGCACTGAGTTTGGCCTGATTCCCYTGTGGGTCTTTAGCCAGTGGACAGAGACTCAGGCATGGATTGCTGCAAAGGAGCATGATGCTCCCTCCAAAAGGCCCCGGGAGCTGCCTTCTAACCAGTTCCTGGAGAATTGTCAATAACAAACACTTATAAGACCACGCGCCCACCCGCCTAAACCAGGTGATCTCAGCAAGTCCTTGCTCTCCTACTCCCTGTCCTAMGTGTCATCACTCCCCAGCTGTCCCACTATAAAAGCAAAGCTATGAGTGATGAGGTCTTGGGTGATTTCCAGCTCTTCAGGGCACAAGCTAAGGCAGGAGATTTCTCTCTTTAGCGTCTGTAAGGTACTGGAAAATCCTCCCAGATGGAAAAGACCACTGAAGCTATTAGGGCCCTTAGAGACTGACCATATTTTACCCAGATCCTTAGTTGGAGCTAGGTGTTAAGACTTAGGCTGGGAGAAGGGAACTGACATCTGCAAGAAAATACAGCCTTTCTCCAAGGAGCAGAAGAAATCAGCTTCCCCAGCTATGCAGGGGGATACCAAAAAGGGTAAAAGTAACAGTGACTGCCATTGGGACACTTACATTCCAGAAAGACTGTTCAAGAATAGTACTAATTACTGGTCCTCGGGTGGGGGTGTTTTGGGAAGAATTCTTAGAGGAAGTTATGCTTTGGCAGGGCTTTAAAGGATGAGTAGAAGCTTGCCTGCCAAGAGGTAGAGAGGAAAGATGAATGTATTCCAGGCAGGAGGCACAGCATTTATCAAAGTAAAGGGATTTGACATTCTACGGTGCTTGGAATTGTTGCAAGGGTTGAATAGTTTCRTGGTAACTGGAGATCAAGAAGGAACAATTGGAGAGTCAGTCAGGATACTGATAGAACTTAAATTGGGGGTGGGTGTGGAGGTTGAAGAAAAAAAAATAAAGAAGACACCCCCAAGGTGCCTGAGTGATGTTCCAAGGAGTTACAATCACAACCAGATAAGTGGATATGGAGTATCACAGAGAAGTTAGTGCTGTTTTCTAAAGGGCCAGATAGTAATATTTTAGTCTTAAGGGTTATATGGTTTCTGTTGCAAATATTGTACTCTGCYGTTTTAGTATGATAAAAACTACAGACAGCATGTAAGCAAATGTGTGTGGCTGCATTCTAATGAAACCTTATTTGCATAGACAGGTGGCTAGCATGTGGGCCATAGTTTGCCAATTCTGCTGTACAGCCTTTGAGATCCTGAAGCCACTTTCTGTATACAGAATAATGACCTTTCAAAGATGCTTACCTCCTCATCCCTGCAACCTTGAACATGCTTTGCTATATGGCAAAGGCGAATTAAGGTAGCAGATAGACTTAAGGTCATTACTGGGCTAACCTTAAAATAAACAAGGAGATTATTTGGGATTAGACCAGTGGACCCAATGTAATCAACAGATCTTTACATGTGGAATAAGAAACCAGAGAAGTCAGTCACAGGGATGGGATATGAAGATTTGACTTGCTGGCTTTGAAGATGGAAGGGGGCCAGGAGCCCCGGATCATGCATACCTTCTCAGAGCCAGAAAAGGCAAGAATGTGGATTTTCCCCTTCAAGTCTCCAGAAAGGAATGCTGCCTTGCCAACACCTTGATTTATGCGGTTACAAGCCACTATGTTTGTGCAATTTGTTACTGCAGCAATAGAAAGCTAATACACCACCCAGGTGAGCTAAACTTTCTAAATATTCTGGAGCAACCCAAGACCCCAGAGTTAAGAAAGCAGGTTGGACATCCACTGAAATACCTCATTTAGATGCAAAAAGTAGGCTAAAGGCATCTGGATGGGGATGCTGGGAAATGAGGCAATACTTTCAGGGAGTGTTTAGAGTAAGGAGCTGTTTTTACAACTGAAAAGGCTTTATGGGTCCCTGATGTAGTATAAGAGGCATTGAAATGACATTCTCTTTATTTGTGTTTCTCTAGGGCTTCTTAGACCTACAGGCTTGCAGATTTATATCTAAGGAAGGAGAACCTCTGGGCATGAGGCTAAAGATGAAAGTCTCAGAACTGTCTCTGTGCACGCTACTCGGAGTGGGGAAGTGGGTTGTCAGAAATCAGCCCTGACTTTCTATTCCGCTGGCATTAGGCCACCCTCTGCCCTCCTGCTGTGCCACTGTACCATTTACGTCATGGGGAATACAGTTTTCTGCTTTAAAATGTGTGTTATGAGGGAAATGAGAATATGATACTGATGACATTTGACAAAGGGGCCAGCAGACAGGCTTGAACAGGCTTGGCATACGCATGCTGTTACAGGGTCACTTCAGAGACTGCTGCTGCTGGGCACCCACTGAAGAAGTCGACTGAGGTCAAAGGCCCCTGCCCAGAAGTTCTCTCAAGCTACCTGCCATGGCTGTAGGCAGAGGCTGTGGGCTGTGACCTCCCATCCACACTGCAAACATCTTGAAAGCAAAGAGGTCACAGCACATAGCCAAGGGATCYTCTGTATGCAGGAGCAGTCATAGCAGTGACTAATTAATTATTAGGTAAGACAAAAGAGACAACGAGGGCAGATCTTCTCACAGTGATGATTCTTGCAAATTTCTAAAGTTTATGTCAGTTTACAAAACACTCTCTCATACATAATCTCAAATTATCCTTATAACAGTGCTGTAAAGCAAGTAATAGCAGAACCATTTTGCTAATAAAGAGAATGCGTTTTGCAGACATTGAGTCACTGGCTAAAATTCTACAGTCAGTAACTGGAAAAACTTGGGCTTGAACCCAGACCTACAGTTTCTTAGGATGGAGCTCAGCTGTATCCCACAACTGTTCCACCCTTCTTTCCTTCCTTCTCTCTCTCCATCTCCTTTGAAACATGGAGTACCTACTGGGAACCAGACAACACCATTCTAAGTCCTGTGGACACAAACCCAACCAACGTGAGGTTCTAAACTTATAGGATATAAAAGTTGAACAGGGGAGACAGACAAATCAATGTGCCAATCGTGACACATCCTATTATTAAGATATTTGTTGAGTACTCACTATATGCCAAGTTCTGCGCTGAGAAACTTCACACTATTCACACCATATGAGGAGGTCTTGTGTTCCCCCCCTTACAGAGAAGGAAATGTTTAGATCCCTYATATACCTATTATCAGCCAGTATCCTCATTCTCTCTAGGCTCAGATCTCATTCTCTTAGCCACCATACTGTAGTAGCTTAACAAAAGCATTAGTGTATAGCCGTACATCCGGGCAGGGCAAGGAGATAGTAAGGGAAAGATGGATTGACTGTCCACGGCAATTCAGTTTCCCAGCCAGGGCTCTGGCACACCTGTAATCCCAGGAATTCTGAAAGTTAAAGCAGGAGGAGGATGGCAACTTCCAGACCATCTGGAGAAATTTAATGAGATCCTCAGCAACTTGGTGAGACCCTATCTCAAAAAATAAAAATGACTTGGGATACGGAGTATAGCTCAGTGATAAGGTGCTCCTGGATTCAATTCCTAGTCCCATTAAATAAAAGAAAACAACAACAAAAAAGGAAGGTCTCCCTRGAATGTAAGGCATTTGCCAATACTGCAGCATGAAGAAATGAGCCAGTTATTTAAAGGTGGTCTTTGAAGTTGGTCTCTGCTCTAAAAATTGAATATGAGAAGAGGGTATCCTAGAACTTTCACACCACACATTTTTTTTTTTCCTGACTGGCTATTGTAGGCAAACACTGTCTGGGGGATTCTAAGAGAAATACCATTTAAACTCAGCTCTGGAGGAGGAGCAATCCTACATTTGCACTGAGAGGGTGGGCCCCTTCCTGAGGGTGATTTGTTGGAGAAGAAAGACTCTGACCTGGGAGTTGGGAGAAGTGGGTACTAATCCCAGTTCACCTTAGACAAGCCCCTCAGCCTGCCAGAGCTCTGACTCTTCAGCTGTGAAATGTGGGTGTTAGGCTAGATGACGTCTAGAGGTCTCTCAGTGCTACTGTTCCTTTATTCTAAGACTTGTCGAGGAAACATAGGAAGGAAGAAGGTGTATTTGGGAGGGTGCTGTGGAGAGAGGACAGTAGCTCATCTCATCAGAAGCCCTCTCACCTGAGCACACTCTGGCACCTGAACCCTGAAAGTGCCCAGCCACTACAGGGTGTGGATTGCTAGGGTCTAGGGCCTGACCTCTGTTATTAGTCTGGAAGGGTTCCTGTACATAATATTACAGCCAAACAGAGAACCTGACAGGTACCCCAGGAAGTTAATAAACATTATCACATCAGCAACATTAAATGGCTGCTTGAAGCTATGATACTATTATGATTATTATTAACATTATAGTATTCTGGTAACTGACACTATTTATTAGAATAATTCTATATACCAGRTGCTGTGCCAGGAGGAGTGCTTTACTTACAATTACCTGTTCCTCTTGGCGAATCTAAGAAKTGTTATTACCTCCTTTCTAGAAATAAATTTATGTTTCAGGAAATTAAATAAMTCATCTGAAGTCAAGACCATTGCTAAGTGGTAGAGCCAGTATTCTCATCCTGTCGGATGGTCCWAAGCATTGTTCTTCCTCACCTTGCTAAACTTTGCTGCAGTCTGTGGTTCTTTCCATCTGGTCCTTTACGCTGACACACAATGAGAAACAGAAAGAACATACAGCCAGTTAAGAGTAATACCATATTCTTACCTCACGATCTGCAAGGTGCTTTCTCAAGCCACCTAATCTGATTCTCACAGCAACTCAGAGGACTGGATGCAGCATTATCTTTATTTTACAGAAGAAACGGAGACTTAAGGGAGATTGAGTAACTTGGAGGTTTTAAAATCCATTTGCTACACTAGTCACGTACTTGCTTAAATTTCTGATCACTTGGGGACATGGTTTTTCAGAACATTATGTCTTGTGTCTTAAAGTGTATCCAGTTATTTATATTTGTATTGCAGAGTGGTTAACAGAGGGCCTTCCCGGACAGATATTACTGAACAGCAGCTGGTGTTTCCTTAAATCTTCTTCCGGGACTACGTGGACATCATTCCCAAACAACTGAGAATAGTTTGGTGCATCCTAAAGTTCCAAACCCTTGTATAATGATAGTTTTCTTCCTTCAACGTCAGTACATTGAACCCTTTACTGAGTTGACTATGTCTATGTAAACTATATTCAATTTTGCACCTACTTTTCTTATTATACGGCTGTATGTAGTGCTATAGAGTAAATTATGCAGAACTTCTTTAGAAAGTTTCTATTATGGTAAATGCAATTTTAATAAATCTCCATATGTATTAGAAATGTATCTKTCAGGTCTCCTCCCACTTTTAACCCAAAGAAAGCACATAGAAAAGAAAGGTACATAAGTTCTTGCTTATCTGCCTCATATAACTGGATTCTCCCTTCATTAGAGAAGGTGGTGATTATTTGCAAAATTAAGTTCATGGTTAAGTTCAATCAGAACAACTGCTCCATGCAACAACAGGGAGGGATGACTCTTGCAAGACCAAAAAAAAAATACACACACACACACACACACACACAAATAACTCATGAAAAAAGTATGATTCAATTTACTTAAAGTTTCAAAGAAACTAAAACCAATCTGACGTTAGAAGTCAAGACAGTGGTTACCTTGGGGGTTTGGTAACCAGGAAGGACATGAGGCTGGTAATGATCTGTCTCTTGTCTCTGGGTACTGGTTACAATAGTGTGCTCATCTTATAAAAGTGTGCTGACTTCTACACTTGTGAATACAGGTTGAGTATGTCCTTCAAAAGTTCATGCATTGAGAACGTGGTTCTCAGTATGGCAATATTGGGAGATAATTTGATATATTTAAGAGGTGGGGTTTAGTGGGAACTAACTAGGTCATTAAGAGTACAGCCCTCAGAAGGAATTAATGTAGTTCTCAGAGGATCCTAGTTAGTTCTCTCAAGAGAGTTGTTACAAAAAAGCACATCTGGCCCCTCCCAGTCTCTCTGGCTTACTGTCATGTAATCCCTACCACCATAATAACATCTGCTGTGATATAATGTATGAAGAGGGGCCTTTGCCTGAGCTGTTACAATGCTGTTTGTTTGGACTTTCCACCTCCAAAACTGAGAAAAATAAACTTCTTTTCTTCATTCATTAACCAGCTGCAGGAATTTTGTTATAACAGAAAACAGAATAATATAATGTCATACTTCAACAAAAAGTTTCTGGAAAAAAAAATCAAGAACTATCTGAATCCCTGGGCCTTCCCTTATATCTGTAACTGGCAATTTGCTTCTTCTGTCATGGCTGCTTCAGTTGGAGCTTATCAATGTATTGGAGCTTATCAATGTATTGGAGTTTATCAATGTAGAAAACATTCCATTTTAATCCTGAAATTCCTCTTCTATCTCAATCACTGATTTGCCGAACTCTGCATATTCTTTTTGGCAACTGGAGGTAACAGCAGACATGGTGGGAAGAAGAAATTCTACCATTTRCAGTTGTGTGTCCTTGAGTAAACTGTCCACTCAATCTGAGTTTGAGGATGTCTAATTGGGGTAATCGTGGTGACCTCATAAGGTTATGGTGGCTGATCATGAGAACTAAATGACAGAACATGTGCCAAGGCCAACAGGAGGACGGGCGGGTATCAAGGTACTTTTGGGAAACCTGTGACCCTCTATGTGACTTCATTCTCCTAACTCCTTGCTCCTGCATTTTCTCAGTGACTCTTTACCTAACACGAAATCCATCATGTTTATAGCAGTAATTTAAAAAATAAGAAAAAAAAAAAACAAGAAGAAAACATTATCCTATCTGGGAATTTTKGGGGAAATTCCCACTGTCCTTATTTTCTCCTCTGCTTCCACAGTTAAAAAATACTAAGTGGATTAGGTCTACCTCAAATGTACTACTCCAACCCCAGCAGGTCTCCTAAATGCAGTTTTATCCTGACCCTACTCTTTACCCACAGTTGTGAGGCCAAAACATTTCCACCATTCATAAAATCCCCATCCCTACTTCTCACCTCTTACTTTATAGGATCCAAACTCCCACTGATAAGATAAAAGTCACTTTGAATTCTGTCTG